TCCATCGTTTTCCGCGTGTACCTTAACCAGTTAGCTGTTTTTGACGAGTATACTCGTCGCGAAGAAGTGGCAATATCTCGTGTTACGACAAGCTCTGTCGGTAATAAAATAAAAAAATAAAACAGTCATTTCGTTACAACTTCATTCTCTATTATAGCAGCCACACGTACTCTGTGTTTGACGAGTATACTCGTTGCAAAGAAGTGGCAATATCTCGTGTTACGACAAGCTCTGCCGGTAATAAAATAAAAAAATAAAACAGTCATTTCGTTACAACTTCATTCTCTATTATAGCAGCCACACGTGCTCTGTGTTTGACGAGTATACTCGTCATCGCTTACTTTTTCGACACATTTTAGCTACACACTTTTTAAAGAGGTCGCAACGGCTAACTGTTTAACTGCGCCGTATCTCGCCGATGACCGAGTCTAGGGTCACGAACGTATGTCCGTTTCTCTTATCGAAGAACGATTGCTCTTGGGGAAAACATGCGAGTGCCATAAATTAAACCTAAATTTCAATGCTAGCGAATAATTATAATGTAAATAGATTCATTTCCATTTTCATGATAACGATGTAGTACGGTACTGTTTAAAAGTCATTTGCGATAGTGATCTTATAATAATTCCGAATGATTCTCGAGCGGAACCGGACGATACCGTTTTGCGTTCAGCTAATTAACAATTGGCCTCGATTTGGGTCAGAATGGTAATGAGCGTGGCGGAAGGTTCCGACGTAAGCCCGCAATATGAATATTCGGTTATTGGTATCAAAGATGACGAAGCAGAAAAATTGGCAATGGCAGGAAGTTTGCAGGCATTAAAATCGATAGGAAGGACGACTTATTATTAGAACATTGTATGGATACTATAGTTGCATAAATCGAATGGTCAATCACGCAAACTCTTGCCATCCAGCGATGTCTTCGGTCAATGTATAGTATTCTTAAGACATTCTCTTGCGCATCTCTTGTGGTAGTATTATATCTTATTCTTTATCTTTCTGTCGTTTGCCCTTTTTGTATACTAAGTGCATTCCTTTTTTTCTTTTAAATATATATATATATATACGTACAAAAGAAAAAAAAAAGGAATACTATTTCTTATTCTCTGAATTAATATTTTGTTTCAATTTACGCCATAAAAGTAAGCGAACAGATAAATATTCATATTTGATGAATCGCCGTTTGTCTAATAAATGATATATATACGATGGTTACCATTTTAACAAGGTTATCTGAAGAGTTTCCCTGTAATCTCCGCCGTACGTAGTTTCCCGAACCTATCTACTTGTTATTCCCCTTGAAAGTTTCATGACATACCTTTTATTTGAAAATGTACAGTTAAATACATCATGTTCTAATTCTATAAAGGCTATAATCTTAAAATTTATTTTAGCGAGGGGAAAGTTACCTGTGAATCTTCCATCCATTGTACCATATTTATTCATTCATCCTCAGTAATATTTCAACGGAGAATTTTATGACAAATCGTCCGTCTTAAAACGAAGATGACGAATAGAACATTAAAACACGTCATGTCCTAACCCCATGAATCCTATCTCCACCCGAAACTCTTCCAACATACCTAATCCTTTTTCACAAAATATCATGCTAACTCGTCCTCGGAGACGAATAATGCATAAAGGGAACCCAGACGGCATTCGTATGAAGCTCTCAAGAAGATGATGAAAACTGAATATAAAACTTCCACCCTGCATCAAACGGAGAAAAGAAAGGAGAAAGAAAAGATGGAAACAGAAGGGAAAAAAAGGGGGAAAGGAGAACGGGAAGAAACGTATGCATCGACGTCGGTATCTCTCCAATTTATCCAATTCGTCAATCGCTTCGCGACTGAACAACGATTCTTAATCGAGTATGCCAACCGTCGTTCACTTATTTGTCGCAAAATGATCGAGCCAGACGATGGCTCTCTCGGTTCTCAGGACGCGCAGCCTGTTTGTGGCTCCTGTTTTCGTGAACAGCCAGCACGCACGGAATCAAGATGAACCGACGTACAGACGTTACACGTGCTGCGCAGTGGCATACTGAATCGAACACGTCTGTCTGCTCACGTGCGACAACTGTCGAAACGTGAGACAATCGTATCGTTTCTGCGGTGGGTTCGCTTCGCTCCGTTCGATTATCGCGGTGAAGAACGACGCGCAAAGACGTACGGCGGCAGTAAAAATTGTGAATCGTTGTTCTCGTTGCATACGACGCGATGAACACGCGATCGAAACCTGCAAACCGATCGCATGGAATGGACAGCGGCGTGGAAAAAGGAGCCGACGGAAGGTTTCAAGTTTGGTATCGTTCATGAGACGAAGATCAGAGACAGAAACGAGTGAGGTAGGATGCTAGAATTTGTTCTCGTTTCAGTCAGCGAACATCCATTACTTTGGAAATTTATTATTCTTATTTATCGTTTATTTATTTATTTATCTCGTGCACGAGAATGAAAACAAATATAAAGAGTATAAAAAAAATGTAAGATGTATAAAGCAAGGAATAGAATAGAAAATAAAGAGAATAGAATAGAAGCAGTATCTAACGTTTTAACATTTTTCATGATTCTTTTCAAATGTCGAAACTCGAGACAAAGGTGGAGACAAGTTCCTAAGCTCGAAGTGATCCAAAAGATCCGAGTTCCAAGGATAGGAAAGGGAAGAAAAGAAGAAAAGTATCGAATCATCGACAAATCCGATTTCTGTTCGCAGAAACGGCACGCCTCGAGCGCGCGATCAGTTTCCGGGAAGAAATTAGAGGGTCGCTTGCCACGGGAGGCACGTACAAGCGTCCTAGCTCTTTTTTTGATTTTCTAATTCACGCCTGGATCCGGTGGATGATCTACGATTCAATAGAAATCCCCCCGAACGAGACAGTGAGGCACGTGGATAGCAATGTTTAATTCAAGATCGTTTCTCGGAATGATTCCGGTCGCGCAAATAATTTTACACCTCACGGCTGCGTTCGACGGATGCAGCTATTGCCATAAAAATGGCCAACTCGCGCAAAAAACGCAACGCGACGGAAATATTTTGCCAGTCGGTTGCTCGTTGTACGTCGATTTGACATGTACACTTCGCGCTCGCAACTTCCGCTGCGAGCCTTTTTCCTTTTCAACCCCCGTCCCCTTTACACTTTTCCACGCGTGTTCCTGTTTTCCCTTTGTCGAACCGTTTACACGAAAGGACGATGACTCTCGATAGATCCGCGTGCGCGTGTAGCAATTCCTATTTGAACACGAATCACGAAGAGCGAACAGGTAAGCTCAGAACGACGGGTTGAAGGACCGCGTTACATCTCGCCAAGTGGATTGCGTTCATTTTACAAATTTCCAGAATAAAACAGCCGCGACAGGTGTTTTGCTATCGTATCACTAGCGCAATGCGTATCGTGAACTAGACGCGGATCCTGTTCGCTGGCGCGGATGCGATCCTCCGCTGAATGAACAACGAGCGGTGAGCGAAGAGCGAGTAAGCCAACAGGCTTACTTGGCTCTTCCATCCAAAGGACGATCGTCTTCGAGTTCTAATTCTCGTAAGGGACGAGCTATTTGTGGTTGTCCATTCCCCATCTTCGCTTCTAATTATAGTAGAACTACGCCTCTTGAAATTAAATGTTACCACCTGTTTAACCGATCTGCTGCTGATTCCACTTATTTAAACGAATGCTAACGAAGAATGATAAACAGCAGGAAGAATCGTGCCTCTTAACAGTGAAGTCGATTAACTGCCTTTTCTCACGATTTATCAATTTTAGCAATTTCACATAAAGATGTCGTAGGAAAAGTACATCTAATTGGATCATGAAATTGTGCATCTCGTGAGAAATTTTTTAATATATCGACGATAGATCAATACACGAAATACCAGCATCGATTTGCAAACTTGCTATCCAGTTTTATTTTTCAAAAACCAAATTTGTTTCATCGACTATCACGCGAAGTTATACGAACGGTTTGTCTTTCGGCGAGTTCGAATAAATAGACAGGCTTGTTAACGACATATAACATTATCAACAAATATTTACCGCAAAGCTTTCTTATCGCGATCTATCGAGAGAATCAAGAACGTTCGTTTCAAGAAGAAACTTTACGATATGATCGTACTTCGCAACTTTTCGTACAAGCTGGCATGAAAAGATGAATAATCAAACTTCCCCCACATTACCCCTCCCTTTGTACGCCACTGATCTTTCTGATCAGCAGTCAGAGGATCGACGGGCCGGGTAGGCCGGTTGGAATTTACCGTCCAGTCTTTCCAGGGAAGACATAAAATAGTCGCAGGTGTATAGTCAGCCGACATAAACGCCCACGAGTATTCGCAACGACGACTACGGATTCTGCATCCCGATGCGAAACGAGATCTGTCCCGGTTGCACCTGTTCGTTCTCCGTCATACGTTGATATTGTTCAACGCGGATCGATCAGGAGAATCGGTTCATGGGACGCAAACGATACTTCCGTGCTCTGATAGCACGCAAAATTGCTTGTGAAACTATCACTCTTGACGATAAGTTTTCGATCAAACGCAACAGTACAAAGCTAATCAAAAATACGATACTACATTTTCTATAAAATATATACTATAATATCTACAATAATCAGTAGATGAAATTTACGTCCGATGGTTCGATACTATCGAGTTTGGTTGAAAACTTTTTGCTAGGAGAATGCAATATTATCTGCATTTTGGAGATTAGGGGCTGGTTTGGTATCGGAACTAGCATTTGTAATTTTTATTTTATTTTATTTCACTTAGAATAGCGCATTTTTTGGAATTTGAATGATATATTTTCCGCTTGTACCTTTTCATATTAGTTTCTTTGACGCAGGTTCTACGCGTACTTTAGTAATCTGTAGTTTCAGCGTTAAAGTCGATCTTCATGTTACAATTGCACGCTTTTTGACGCTGACAATGATCTACTTAAAGATCGAATGTACAGCGATTTTACGATATCTACGATGCCAACGTGGTTAATAATGTTATGTATTCAGATTCTAGGACGAGGTGCTTGTTTACGAGCTTCCTGGAGGCGCCAGCCAGGCGATCATTTGAATATGAGGTATTAAATCAATGTCCACTGGGACATTGATAACAGCAGCGATGTCAAATCAAAAGTATGACGAACACTTAGTTACGTCAGCGTAGCTACGAGTCCAGCCACGGATTCGCCATAAGATATATAGTGCTAGGCGTGCATAACGCGTGGAATACGAGATTCTTCCCTTGCATGAGTAAAATTTCTTATTCGACGACGCCGTCGGTCTCGTTGTTCTTCGCGAATTACCAAGCGGACCTCCGTTGATTTTTGGCATCGGTCAAGATTTCAGAGACTCTTTATTATTTCGATACTAATGCGAAAAGACAGTCTTCTTTCTTCATCGTAAGAAACTTTAATCCTCTCTACATTGTTTAAAGAAGCTCAAAGCATACGAATAATGGTAGATTCTCTTTCTTGTTTCCCTAGAAATTCAATAGCAAATGGCGCCTGCCTCGTATCTTTCGCAACAGAAAAATCGAGTATCTCCATGGCGAATTCAACGACACGATAAAAGGGTTAAGGGTTAGAAGAAAGAATCGTGAAAGCGAAGATCGGCTCGAATATTCCATGATTTCACGCGAAAAAGTAAGGGGAAAGACAAAAAAAAAAAA